GGGAGACTCCAAGGATCCAAACATCCAACCTGTCACCCTGACGACACTTGCTAGAAGATCCAGTGAAAAAAGGATGAATCTGTGAAGAATTCAAAGGAGAAAAAATTCTGAGCTCCTTACTTCTGACGCTGGGCAAAAAACTGGAGACTTGTCAGCAGGTGGGGGGTTGGGCCACCAGCAGGGGCTGCCCCTAGGCTGTCTGTCTTTTTGTTATGTGCCTAGCGTCCTTCTCCTGCAGGTGGCGATATACCTACCATACAGGATCTACGATCTGTTGCCCTGTGTCCTTCAATGAACGGGAGAGAAATGTGGGTTTTTAACTCAACAGTGCAAGGCAATGCACAAACCTTACCCCAAAATATCCCATCCCAAAGAGCAGCATACCGTATCTGAGTTGATGGGGTTTTGACTGAGAAGCAAACTTGTCTAAGCTCTGCTAACCATACCCGCAACAGTCATTTTTATGTGGCAACTCTTGTATCATCTTAACTTTTTAACTCCAACAAATAGCACCCCCTTAGCTAAATGGCAACCACAGCATTTAATGAAATTCCAGGATTGCCATGCAGCAGACTTAGTGTAATTTCTAGTACAAAGCTAGACAATGCATGATAGCATAAAGATAGAGAAGTAAACACAATGACATTATTGCCCTAATGCATGATTTGTATTACTCATTGAATCACCAACAAGATGAGTTTGAATGATCTAATAGGATAGTTACTTAAAGAAGAAGTTTTACTATAAATTTTACATTTTATTTCATCCGCTAGGGGACCAAGTGCATATAGCATTTGATCCTGTTCAAATCTGTACTGCCATTGCAAAGCTGCATGTTCAAACAATTTAACCACACTGCTAGAAAGGAGATGGAGTTTTGAGAGACAGGGCTGGTCTCTGGGGACCAGTCCGGCCATTCAAAGATAGACAGATAGATTGAGGGACACAGGTCTACTCCTTACTGTAGAATCATATGCTTATGTATTTTATTGAGCCTAAATTTCTGGATCTTACTTTGTTAAAGGTATACAATGTTGTCCTTCAGCCAAGTGCTCATTTGTTTTGACTGTTAAATATTGCACTGTTATTATGCAGTGTATGGCCCAGCCCTGACAGTGCTAAGCATTCATTTATAAAAGCTCCATCATTGCTGCAGGGCTGTGATCTATTTGTGTATTTTGTGTTTCAATATTCTTAAGTTTTTCAAGGAAAATGTACATAAAAAAACTTACCCGATACCGATATCCCCCCACCCGAAAAAAAAATACTTTTTGGTCATTAAACAAATATATCCTTAATTTGATAATCCTTGTAAACAAATAAGGCTGACATGGATTATAAGTAGATTATAAAAAATAAAACATTTTGAGGAGGTACAAGTTGTGCATTTTAGTCAAGAGCTTGCAATCCAACCCATACCACATTTTCATAGTAATGCAAGGTCTCGGCAGACTAAAACTAATTAAGTGTATACATTTTTATTAATGTATACACAAACTAAAGAAAAATGTTCTATTATACTATATACAGTATATATTATATGTAGTTAGTTATTTACTTCAGAACTTCTACAATCGTTTCAGCAATTAAGTAGTTAGTAACAAATCAAAAGCAAAAAATAAAACTGCAATTACATATGTTTTGACATTAACATTTACAGGAAATATGTGTGTCAGCTTCTTGTTCTTTGAAGCTCAGAATGTCTGCATTCTAACATGATCCTGAAAGGGTATACTCACTTGTAGCAAAAGGAAACCAAACAATTAAAGTATTATCTAGAGACACAACAACATTAAAATAAAACTCATTTATGCCGACTGTTGGGCACTATTACACGTTGTCAAAGACAGAGATAAAGCAAACAGATACACTAATTGTTCCCATTTTGTGAAAGGGATGTATCTGTTTACTGCATTCTCATTCAAATAGATGTTTATAAAGATCAGGTGACATAATCAGACCCCAAAACTAGGTTAAAGTAACATTATAACTAGGGATGCACCGATACCAATACTAGTATTGGTACCGATACCGAGTATTTGGGTGAGTACACTTGTGTCGAGAGAGCATGGAGCCGACTTCCCGGCCAATCAGGAAGTCGGGCAGCGTGTAATGACGCGCTTCCCGGCTTACTGATTGGCCGGGAAGCTGGCTTCATGCTCCCTTGTCATCTCATGACGAGAGAGCATGGAGCCGGCTTCCCGGCCAATCAGGAAGCAGGGCGCCGCGTCATTACACAGCGCCCAGCTTCTATGATTGGCCAGCAAGCCGGCTCCATGCTTTCTTGTCACATAGTGACCAGAAGCATGGGGCGGCTTTCTTGTTATTCGGGAAGCCGGGTAGCGAGTCTTTACATGCTGCACCGGCTAATCAGGAAGCCAGGTGGCGAGTCATTACACGCCGCCTGGCTTCCTGAATGGGACTTCCGGTACTCGGTATTTGGTATCGGCGAGTACCGAAAGAAATAATCGGTACTCGGTACCAAAATACCGGTATCGGCGCATCCCCAATTATAACCCCTGCAGGACTAGACATACACTATATTGCCAAAAGTATTGGGAACCCCTCCAAATCATTTGATTCTGGCGTTCTGTGAAATTTCCTTGCTACTAAATATTCCACGGTCAACTGTTAGTGGTATTATAACATAGTGGAAGCAACTGGGAACAAGAGCAACTCAGCCACAAAGTGGCTGGACAATTTCATGCTCCCAACTTTGTGGGAACAGTTTGGGGATGGCCCCTTCCTGTTCCAACATGTCTGCGCACCAGTGCACAAAGCAAGGTCCATAAAAGACATGGATGAGCGAGTTTGGGGTGGAGGAACTTGACTGGTCTGCACAAAATCCTGACCTCAACCCGACAGAACACCTTTGGGATGAATTAGAACGGAGACTGCGAGCCAGGCCTTCTCGCCCAACAGCAGTACCTGACCTCACAAATGGTCCAACATTACCATAGACACACTCCTAAACCTTGTGGACAGCCTTCCCAGAAGAGTTGAAGCTGTTACAAGTGCAAAGGGTGGACCAACTCAATATTGAACCCTACGGACTAAAACTGGGATGCTATTAAAGTTAATGTGCGTGTAAAGATAGTCGTCCCAATACTTTTGGCAATATAGTGTATTTCCCTCACGTGCTGCTTTTACATCCTATTTATACAGGTGTTGCTAAAAGCTTAGGTCATGCAGGCAGGATGTCAGAACCACATACCTTAGAGGAGTTTGAGTTGACGAGGAAGGCCTCTCTTGCAGCTTGAGTCCAGGAACCTCTGGAAGTGGAACAGGCGTACAAGGACAGGAGAGGTACGAGTGACGGTAGAAGCGAAGTCGAAGACAAGGCAGGTCAAGCAGCGAGGTACCAGGACAGCAGACAAGACATACTCAGGGACAGGCGACGTCAGCAACTTGCCAGCAGCGAAGTACAGAGCAGCAGGCAGGACCGTGGTCAGAAACAAGCCGAGGTCAAGGGAATCCAGAAGAGCAGAAGAATGGTCAGCCAAGCTTGGTCAAATACCAGAAGATCAGAGTCAAGATGCTGGGTTCAGGATACAGGTGCAGGGAACAGCTGAAGACCAGTCAGCATTGGAGGCTAGATTGTCGCAGCGCCGAAATCTGAAACACTGACGTGCACACGCTTGTGCAGAGGCACCCCCAGTGGTGCACAAATTTGTGAGCCAAATTATGCCCACGCACTTGCTCATGTGCAGGTTCCCCTTTCCGGAATCCGACCACAAGCCCCAAGTCTGGCTCATGCACGTAAAACTAGCCTTTCATGGAATGCATAACTGCTTTGCCATGTTTCATCTGTTCTTCAAATTGATGCAGACATGACCTACATAATAGCGACATACCTAATAATAACAATAATAGTCTTTTAAATGAGATGTTTCACATATATATTTCAAAGGACAACTGCACCTTTGTTTTAAAAACCAATATTGTATTGCACTTCACTCACTAATAAAATCAGCAGTATAAAATACTTTACTTTTTCTTTCACATATATTAAGATGTTGCAATGGTCTTCCAACCTAACTCTGTTACTAAAATGAATCTAAATGATGGCCACTTACTGTACATCATCACTGAGTATTCAAGATCCCGTGAAGGAACAAGTACACAGGAAGTACTATCCTGTGATCTACATGTCCTAGCATTCTTCTGTATATACTTGAGGACTCAATATCAAATTTTTAAAGGGGTTTCCCACATCAGCCGAAAAAAGTCAAGAAAGGGCAACTGCCTAAGTGGTTATTTTAACTACAATTAATTAGCAGAATTAGGAGATCTTAACCACTTAAAGTCCGGAGTGTTAAACCCCTTTCCTGTCCAGGCCATTCTTCAGTATTTAGAGCAGCAGCACTTTGACATTTATTCAGTCATACAACACCATAACAAAGTTAATTTTATATAATTTTTTGGGGGACAGATAGAGCTTTCTTTTGGTGGTATTTTACTACATAAAGAATTAAGCACCGAAAATGTAAAAAAATAAAAGACAAAAAACTGTTTTCCCTACGATGTTATGAAACGTTTATTTTACCCAAGTTTTTGGTAAGTTTTTGACAGATATTTGGATTCTATTAGAGTGGACTAGCATTGGAAAGTGAATAATTGCCTTTTTTTTTTTTTACGCTATGAATTTGCATATTGCCACTTGCCCACAATATAAAACAATGGCTTTATCTCTCATGTAAAAGGCTAAGCTGGCCATACACTGCGCAGTTTTTCAAAAGAACTTTTGTTTGAAAGTCGTTCATCTTTCGATAGTTGATGGGGTCAAAATCGATGGTCGATTTTGCCCATAGTGACGAAAAAACTCGAAGGAGCTAGATGGAAATGTTTTCTCAAATGAACGAAATTCTAACAGTGAATGTGGTTTTCGTTTGGGAAACTCCATTCATTCCAAAATTGAACGTTAAAATCAAATAAAATTTCGATCAACATTGATGACATTATGGGTCCACCAAACCAACTACATTAGATAAGTCCCTTACCTTTGACAGAGTCTTCCCATTTGCAACAAGAGTAGCAAGCCCTGCACAACACACCAAAGCACTTGAGCTTGATAAACCAGAACTTGCTGGAATGGTTCCATCCACCAAACAATTCATTCCTGCTAAGCTGTTCAGAACAAAGTGGTCCTAGGAAAAAGCAAGACAATAAAACATGGGTCCAAGAAGCTGATTAATTCAATATAAACTATATACAGGAAATGAAAAATCAGTGCACTATAAGCTATATAAAGCAAATACACATGATACAGTTACAATTTGATACAATCTGATTAAATATTTAAATTTTTTACTTTTAGTGTGGATAGCTTTAATGACATGTTTTTAAAAGGACTTACAAAGCAAATGGTCGAGTTCAGGGCCATAGAAAGGGCGAGGCGAGTGAGGCACTCTCCTCGGGCGCAGCTGTGAGGGGGCGCAGCAAGGGCAAAGCAAACACTGGAGTGATGAGCTGATCACTCCAGTTTTTGTAAATAACTGGGGTGTAACGGCTAGGTCAGGCTATATGAATCTCAGCTGCGGAGTGTGCCTAGCTCAGGTGTAATTGCTTAGGGGTACGGCTTCAGGGTCGAGCTCCAGGCGGCACTCTCAAACTTTAGCGGAGAGTTAGGAGCTCTACCATCATATGCCGCAATTACTTTGTTTAAGGGGTAATGCACACGAGTAGCCCCGGGGTATTACAGCATACCTGGGTTACAACTATTATGTGTGGTTCAAGCAGGTTCAAACAATAAGACTTCAGTAAGGAGTATCAAACAAAAAGTAATATCAGCACTTCCCCTTTAAATGGTGTGGCTCAGATAGCAATGAGGAAGTCCATACAGCAATTGCATGAGAGTCAGATCAATCACTTCAGTGAGAACTAGCTGGGACAGGCTGTCGCAGACTAGGCGATACTTGCAATTAGATGTCCTAGCACAAAAGGGTTCTTTCCAGCAGAACAGGTCCAATGGTCCAGGCGAGGGGATCTCTGGTTGTCAGCTGGCGTTCACTGGCAATAGTGGAACACCATACTGATCTCTATGCCAGCCTTTTATGGGGAAGGAGTGTGGGAGGAGCTGCCGACGTCATAGGGGCCGCTGCGTTCCACGCTGGAACACATCGGCGCATCTACTTCCGTTCTGCGGCTTGCGTTCCACGGTGGAGCGCAGCCGCGATCGTTACATGGGGACACAGTTATGAATTAACAGGAAGTGCTTTACATCACTTCCTGTTCATTCATTAATTTCTGAATGGGTAGTAGCACTCAGTACATAGGCTTCTATTCATTCATAAATGGATAATAGTATATATTTTACTATCACCAGTTTGTGAATCAATGGGAAGCCTCTGTACTCACTGCTTTCCATTCATTTAGAACAGAGGCTGCAGAAAAAGAGATTGAGGAATGAAATGGGGCGGAGGCGGCACAATTTTCTGTTCTTGCCTCGGGCGCAAAAACAGCTAGCTATGGCTCTGACTGAGTTATCCCTATGCTATCTCCTCCTGACAGCAAATTCCCTAATTCCCTGTCAGCACATGTGTATGTAGCAAAGCTCTCTCCAAGATGAGTGCTGCCATTTAAATGATCACAGGAGACTAAATTGAGGCCTAGACTTTTTTTCCTGGGGTAGATCACTACTTTTACCCCGGTAACATCTTTTGATTATGGTATCCAGGGCTCCTGCCTTGAAGGGCATGCACAGTAAATGCTTTTTACAAGCCTGTTCTGCACCCCAACATGTTAAACAGTTCTATGCATATTCACTGATAGAAGACATGCAGGAAATAAGATGGGAGACATCCACTATACCATCTAAACAATAATTCAGGGCTGTTGGTATGAACTTTAAATACTCCACATATAAAGGATTAGTGTGAGTAAACCTGGATCTGCTGAGTTCTGTTCTTTCCCCTAATGTTTAACAAACTAACTTTACAGACATAGTAGGTTGCAATGCATAGACTGCCAGGGAAAACAATGTTTTGGAGAGTGTCTCTAGCTGTTTATCGATAGGATCCTTAACCAGTTGACATCCGCGGTGTTAAACCCCCTTCCCATCCAGGCCATTTTTCAGTATTCAGCGCTGCGGTACTTTAACTGACATTTATTAGGGCATCCCCTATAGGGATCCTCAGAGCATTGATAAAGTGACACTAAACTGAGGAGATAAATCTTAAAAATGCATTCAAGTACCTTAACTGTTAACAATAATGTAGCTTATTTGTGTTTCACTCAGCTGTAGATCCTCAAATCATTTCTGAATTGGTGCTGACACTGTCCTTCCTTCTGGAGGGTGGCTACTTTTGTTCCCCATGGTCCCTGTGTGTGTTTTAAAGTAGCCACCGCTCCACGTTCGCTACCGTGATGGACTACAATCTCACGTTTAGTTTACAAAAATTGTATTGAGATTGTAATTACATTTTTGTTAATAGTTATTGTACTTTAATGCATTTTTAAGGTTTAACCCGTGAGTGTAGTGACGCTGCCGATCAATTCGCCGATCAGTGTGGATTAAACCCTGAGGTGTCCAATTGATGTCCAACACAATCTTACGAGTTCCAGGTTTCCCACAGTAGCAAACACATTTGTCAAATTACATGCTCAGCTTTCTTCTTTTTCTAGGGTTCCTATATCTAGCACATCTGAGTTGAACATAATTAGAAGGGAAGTTACGTAAATGTTTTACTGTCCATGATTTTTATGTTTTAAATGGAGTCATAAAAAACTTTTGTGTAAATGAGAAAACATTTTTACAGCAGTTTTCTGTTATGAAATATGCAGCAATTACAACACAAATAAATTGTGTATGCTATTACAATCTTAGGCCTAAATTTTACAACATGTACTAAAATGCTATTTGAAGTTCTAGGTTATATTTAGAAAGCTGTATAATGTTACAGCTTGTGTTAATGTAATGTACTGGCCGGTGAGTGCAGCTACGCTGTCCCTGCTATACTTAATACTCCTAAACCTGTATTTGTGTAACAAAGTCAATGTCCCTGGCTCTGCAGCATTTTAGTTTGGTCTGGAGTGGTTACTGTTTTTTGTATAACCGTTAGGGCCTGTTCACATGATATCAAGTCCTGATCAGGTCCTTATCAGGTGTGGATCTGCAGACGCGGTGCTACTGATTCAGTGCGTTTTTGCCGCGTTCACACGACGTCCGTTTTCCTTGCTGACCTGATCCGTACGCTCCTGCACTAAAAATGTATCCAAATGTATCCCTATGTGTTTTATGGGCTACAGTTCTCACATGCGCAGTCCGTTCAGGTTACAACAGAAAAATACTGCAGGTCACATTTTGTACGGTTTTTTTACTGGAATGCATCAATAACGCGGCCAAAATGCACTGCATCAGTAGCACCGCGTCTGCAGATCCGCACCTGATATCATGTGAACAGGCCCTTAAAAGCATCAAAAGAAATTACAGCATTTTGTGTATCTTGGAAATAGACTAACCAGTATAATTAATGACCCACCAAGAAAACAAATGCATTGTGTGCAGACAAAAACAATGAAAAAACAAGGTATATGACTGAAGATTTTTCTCCAGCACAAAGAGAATGAAATGTCAAAAATGTACTTTTTTTCACGGTTTGGTACTTTTTTGTACCCTCTCAGGAAACTTGTGGCTTGGGCAGACTATATTCTTGCAGACAAAAATCTAAACACGAGTCACAGAATCATCCTCTTAAGTGCATGCATCTGCAAACTATTTCCAAGGAATATGAAAGCAGTGCATAATATGGTGAAAAAAAATCTGTTACAATATTTGTGAGGTTTATGTTATGGAATAGACAAAAGTAAAACAGCATCTAAAAATCAGTCTCTTTGAGGGTTTAAAAAATGTAATGTATTAAACAGAAAAGAAACATAGGGTTGATATAGTCTTCCTCTACATAAGAACACACAGTGACAGACAACCATTCTGATTTTCTAAGGTTAGTCTTTAATTGAGTGGTAGTTGGATGTCTTCAAAGTTGATTATTAATGTAGGAGCTAATCAATCATATGATCTCAGTAAATCAATGCCAGAACAAGACAGGGCATTAAAATCTCTTTTTTTCTTTTGATGGATGGATTCTGTGGGTTTTTTATCTTCACTTGTCTTTTGGAGATGTCATCCCCACTTACAGGAATGCTACAGCGTTTCTGACCTCTTTTGAAAACAGATGCAATAACTAGCATACAATTCAGTTCCTTGCTTTATGTGAAGTTGACATCTAAAAAGCTTCACTGATGATGTTTTTCCAGTTATTCAATCAGTTTAAAATATTTTCTTACTAGGCATGATGTCATTTGTGTTGTTGAATCACTGAAGGCTGGCTGACAATTGGTTTTAATGAGTTTACCCATGCACATGTCACAGATGGGCTTGCAGAAGGTCTGCAGTATATTAGAACAGTATGGCTGCTCTGAGTGGAGTTTACTACAATATGATTAACTCTTCCAAAGCCCACATTTGCTGGTCTATGTGCTGTGTACACAGAATGTGCAATGCTGACAAAAATGAAACTGTTGCCACAAAAAAAATTAAAACCTAACAATCGTAACATTAACAATGTATTCATTTATTTAACTGTTACACAGCTACATGGAATGGACTATGCAACAGAAGCTGGAAAGATTCCTAAAAAGGCTGACAGCAGAGTGTCAGCTTTGTTTCCTGAACAGTGGGCAACTAATGTATCATAGGTACCCAATCGGTAAATGCACTGATAAAAAAACCAAAAACTGTCAAATTAGTAAATGTGTCATGAGAAACAGTTTCAAAAATAATAACTGAATACTTCAAAAATTAACATACTTGATGAGTAAGGTGGTCAGAGGTCAAAGCTCACTGAAAGGGATAGATGGACATGTAACATAATAGTTGCTAATTACCACAATAGTTCAGCCTTCAAATGCACCCTAGAATTTGATTCCCACTTGTGATCCATTTCAACAAAAATTGCAAACTGTGAAATTTGTGGCAAGGCTAAAAATACTGCTTTTATGTGTTTTTCACATATTTTCCACTATATCCTTACATCCTAATGTACAAAACTCAATAGCTCAAGGTGAGATTCACACACACAAATGGATGAGTAAGAGCAGTGACTAGTTTCCTTGCTCAAAAGTTCCATCCAAGGGAAAAGACAGAGTGTCTGAAGGGAGGCAACTACTGCTGTACGGCCGCTTTAAAAAAATCCATAGTGCTCTAGGTCAGTCGTTCTCAACCCGTGTACCCTCAGGGCCCGCATTTGTCCTTTGTCATAAAGACGTGACCCAAGGCATTGTGGTACCGCGCGTTCCGGTGCGGGCGATCAAACTGTGGGTGGGAGGTGCGTTTGGGGGTGTCATTCAAATGAATGGCAATGCAACACACCTCCCACAACAGAAGGCGTAGTGGGGGCGATTATGTGCCCGTGCATTTAGTGTCAATGGGCCCTCAAAAACACTGACATACAAATTTAGTTTTTTTTAGATCCTCCCAGTCTCCTCTCCTTACGAGAAATGGAGTGGATCCTCAGCCGGGGTCCAGTGTGGGCTGCTGTGCTGTGACAAGAGTTCCATCCATATGTTCATTGCTTGGACAGCTCACTTGCACGCCTTGTAGAGGTGCCGGGAGCCAGAATGTGACATCACTCTGGTCCAGGTATCTCTACAGGACACATTAGGGATAGGGTTGCCACCTTTTCTTCCAGCGAAACCCGAACACTCTAGCGACGCACAGAAATGTTTTGGGGAATATGAGTCATGGCTTATTCATATGTACATAGTGTCACCCATTTATGTGTAAATATCACAGTCTAGACTATTTTTAGTGGGAGGGGCCAGTAGCCCCTATATTAATTTTGGTTGCCCCGTCTGTCTGACATCATGTGTCCGGGTTTCAGCTGCCATGAAACCTGGACACAGCATTAAAAACCCGGACTGTCCGGGTGAATCCTGGACAGGTGGCAACCCTAATTAGGGAGCTGTAAGCAATGCACGTATGGATGGAGCTCCTTCGTGGCCCTAGCCCCATCCTAACCCACGTCAAGCTGACACTCAACTCTGGGCAGCATATTCAAATGGCTGCTTGGTGTGAGAACTGACAGTGCTGCTCTAGGGGGAGGCTGAAGCGACCCACTGAACACGGGATCGCGACCCACTTTTGGGTCACGACCCACCAGTTGAGAACTAAGGCTTTAGGTAATTCCTTGTCATGTATTAAATGTTTATTTTTAAAACAAAAAAAGAAATACAAGTATATACTGCACACATATATACATATACACTCAGAGATTTATAGTTTAGAACAAGTCAGGATCTTTACATGTATCTAGATGAATGCATGTGGAAGAATCCCCAATGTTGTAGCATTTGAAAGAGTCCATAGCACACCATTGCTCTGTTATTAATGCACAAGCTTCCTGTTACATCCTGTGTTTGGTGCAGAAACACACAAAGTCTTCAGCTGCTAATGGTGGTCTGAGCTTCTGGTGTGCTGCTGCACCCTTAGAGTGATACTAAAGTCAAACGGTTTTTGAGGTACTTCAAATGCTGATGAAATCACTTACAATGGATGCTACTTCTTGAGGTTTCAAAGTTTTAGCTTCCTGCAGAATCAGCTGGCCCCCCGAGTGCTGACACTGATTTCCTGTTTTAGGGTGGCTCCTTTCCCTTTCAGGGACCTTTAGTAAATTTGATTTTACTTGTTTTATTAACGTTTTTATTTTAAATAATGTTCTTTGATAAAACTTTTTTACTATATGCAAGAAATCTTTTGTTTTACATAGGGCTGTGGAAATTAAAGATTAATTTCTCGATTAATCGTTAAACTTTTTGATCGATTAAAATTATTCTGATCGCTAATGAAAACACTCGCCTCTCCGCCGGCTTCCGGGAGTCCCATGGGCGATCCAGTGAAGTCACGGACATTGACGTCACCGGACTCCCCCCCCCTTCCCCAAGTGGCTCCGTCGGCTAATGAAGGGAAGGGGGGGAGTCCGTGACGGCTAACGAAGGGAAGGGGGAGGAGTCCGGTGACGTCTATGTACGTGACATCACCGGACTCCCCCTTCGTTTGCCGACTGAGCCACTTGGGCCTGTGAGTTTGCCCAAGAAACTTTCTGCATGAGCGCCAGCCAAGGCATTGGCCTATACACATACATCACATCAATTAAGTAATAAAATGAACTAGGATCACACTAATCCAGCACGTTATTATTCTGAGTTGCCCCACTCAAGCGGCGGCCATATTGAGTGGGGCACGTGAGATTAATAACGTGCTGGATTAGTGTGATCCTAGTTAATTTTATTACTTTATTGCTGTGCTGTATAGGCCAATGTAGTTGGATCTGTATGTGCGTTATAATTAATCGATTAAAAAAAATTTAGATTAATCGAACACGAAAATTTTAATCATTACCAGCCCTAGTTTTACAAAAAATAAAAATGTAATACATAAAAGAATTTCCAGAGAACCATGAGGTAATTAAGTACACAGCAGTAGCAGTCCACTGGCTTTGACAGAAAAACACCAGACTGAGCTGCCGAATAATGACTGTGTCACTGCAATATATCACTGAGCAAATCAGTAAATGTCACCTTGAGCTACTGAGGTCTGTAAAAAACAGCTTTTGTTAACAGGCTGTAAATCGATAAAAGGGAAACCTGAAAATGATCAGAGCTACATCTGCTGGTAAAAAAATATATATAATATCGTAAAATACAATATTACCTGACAACCAAAAAAAAGACAAGTTTTACATTTTGTATTAGTTCTTCACAGAATAAATAGACAAAACCACGATACACTCCTTTTAAAGAAGATCTCCAGTATTTTTCAAAAGTTAACCTTTGCAGTATGGCTAACCCCGCACTGCTGGTTTTGGTCTAGGGAATGGTGCATTCACCCGATCCTCGATCCTGGGGTGGTGACAGCTCACCTCTCTCTCCCTCAACTTCGGCTGTGGTATGACCCTTGGCGTGCTCACGTCTAATGCAAGTGAATAATCTTGCATAGACGAGATGAGGTCAGCGGGGCTTAGACCGCTGGAGGACAGGGAGAACTATATTTTCTTTATTTGTGCCCCAGACCAAAACAAGCAGTTAACCCTTGCAGTGTGGGGTTAACTTTTAAAAATCCTGGAGTTCCCTACCTAAAGTGTTTCTCTCCTGAAGTTAAGAGTGGCATACTGTTAATGGTGTGCAGTGTGCTCTACTACAGCCATTAGTGAACACAATGGGGAAAAGCTGAGTGATACACCACTTAATGACAAGTAAAACAATGAAAAAAGTAAGTGTGCACAAAAACAAAAGCAAACAGAAGTAGCAAGAGAGATCAAAAGCTAATTAAAAATAACAAGTAAGAATAAGAATGAACAGCAAATATGTTCTAGGTTGAAATACAAGCTTTTGCTTAGCTGATTATCTTATAAATATTACCTGGATTCCCTTTAGTCCACAAAGAAAGTAATTATGCCACAAAGGCTTAGTCTTATCAATCTGTATATCATGCACAGCCACAGAAATGTCCCTGCAAACATATGAATGGGTTAGAATAAGAAATTGATCCACTGAAAGCTCTTTGCTGCCACATGATGGCCAAAGAGAAGACAACATTCAAATATTTGTTTGTAAAGAAAAAAAAACTCCACTAATGTCTAAAAGCAAAGATAAGCACCATAGAAATAAGTCATAGAAGTGTATAATTCAGTCAGGTTTCATATTTTGTCTTATTGAATGTTCTTGAAACAATTTGTTTTACAAAACATAGAAAATTGATTTCAAAGTAACATCAGTCATTTCACAGGATTCCTCATTTTAAAGAATAGCTGTTCCTATGAATCTCAATTCAGCTTATGACGAAAACTACTTTGTCAACTGTCAACATTGCAGGCTGGAGTTGGCTGTACAACAGTACCTACTGGGGCCCAGATCGAATTATTATAATTAGGGATGCACCGATACTAATATCGGTACCGATACCGAGTATTTGCACGAGTACTTGTGCAAATCCTCCGATACTTAAAACGACTACCTGTACCACACCCACCACCTGTGTTCCGCAGAACCGGCGGCTCTGCAGAACACAGAAACGCCGCAACCACTGGGGACACACAAAACCTCACACATGGGCGCTTTTAATGAAGAAACACAGCCATAAACACTGCCTCCAGGGACGAACCACCACCACAAACGCCGCCTCCAAGTCCTCATCACTTCTAAGTGGTGAGATATTCTGTCAGTCACCGAATCGGCCAATTAGCGCTCAGAGAGACCAGCGAGGGGTAGATGACTGGGCTGTGACAGAGAGTGCCTGAAGGAGACGGAGACGACACAGCAGGTCAATTTTATATTAATTTAATTATTAACATGTTAAGAGAAATTACTTTGAGTTGGTACAGCTTTGTGACAATTTAAGCAAAGTAAACTATTTTTTTTTCTTCACACTCATGTCTTTCAAGTTACAGTTCTTTATAATTATTAAGAAAGTTCCCTAAAATCATTAGTTTGTATTGTTTTAGAAAAAAAATGTCACCTGTCCCTTTAAGAAAAAGCATTGGTAATTGGTATCAGCGAGTACTTGATAAAAAAGTATCGGTACTCATACTCGGTCTTAAAAATTTGGTTTCGGTGCATCCCTACTAATAATGCCAAGGTTATATTAATAATACATCTACATCTTAATACATCTTAATCACCGTGACCTGTTTGAACATTCCAGCATACTAGTCTATCATTCTCAAGTACATTCCTTTAGTACTTCTATTATTATTAGTGTTTATTTTTTTAAATATGACATTGAAAGCAGTCATGTGAGACCTTACTATACAACAGTTGTTTATTTTCTTATTCCTTCCCATATTTGTGACATAAGAGATCCCAGTAGTGCTATTTATAACCTCTAACAACATGACAAAGAAAAACGATTTGCTTCTTGCCGTCCCCCTTACACATGTGCGTGACTGTTACAGCCTTGGGGACAGGAACAGGAATTAGTTATTTCTTCACGTTATGAATTTTCAAAAATTGCAGTTATGTTACAAGGCCAGTTTAGACACATTTACTTTTTTTTTTTACCAGAGTAGCACCCCTAACCCACTGGAGGTGGAGGACTCCCAGATAGCTCAGTGGGCTAGCATTTCACATCAAGGCAGAATCATTGATTCTTTGTAGGGTGGAAAAAATGGGTGCCAGACACATAGGAAGTTTAACAGAGTTGATTATAGGACCATAAGGGCACAGGATATGACCAAAAAGGAAAACTGCAGACTCTACTTACTGTCACTACAGAAAGAAGGTCTGTAAGCCAGCACTGGCACTCTGTACTCTTTAGACTGTATAGCAGATTTAAGGAGTGCATGCACCCTCTGGGTGCACCACCAGAGCGCCCCTCAATGTCCACAGTTTGTACTTAGTTTTTCTGGACACTCTTCATCCCTGTTGCCCCAATCCAGGTAGCCACCTTTCCTCAGAACACCCTCCCCAGGCAGCAAGCCCGCAAGGAAAAGAAGGCACTCCAAATAAATGATAGCCTACCGCAGCATGCACTACTGTCAATAAACCTCCAAGTGGTAGGTCACGTAGACAAATATTCATAACTCTACATTACTGTATCCTCTCACACTATTGCCATAGACACTTCTCAACAATCAGCAGAAGCACTGAGCTGAGGGAAAGCCTAAGGAAAGCAGAACCAACAATTAGAGTTCTGGCTCAATACTGCATAGCAGAAACACTACATTTAGACATTGGACACTGCTTAGGGTAGGGTCCCTACACCAGAGATGTATGGTTTACCTACTGAAGCTTATTTTTGAATGTTTACACAGCTTATAACTGTTGTCAGTGTGTATCTTACTGGACTTGTCATCAACAATGATGATGATGTGTAAGAAAATCTCTTGAAAGAGAGGTTGATGGCTGGCTGCAGAAGACACTGTAGTCAATGCAGAGAAGTCAAAGAGAAAGCATCCAGTAAGGTGTGAGCTGGAGCTGATTATTCATTCCAAGTGTATCTGTTTGAGCTCAAATCTTCAAGATGCAGTATTGTGTTTTTTAAGCAAACACAAAATAATTCTATGATTCTCACTGGACTCCTGTCTACTCCCTATGGACACTTGGAATTATATCCTCTTTCAAATAATTAAAATACATTTAAAATTTGAATTCAGTTCAACACATCTCCAAGAACTTCAGGACTTTCGAGAGAACGCTTCTCAGTAACTCCCAGACATCCATTTTTCTATCTAACATTTAACAGTCACCATTACTATATGTTACAGTCTTAACTAGGGATGCTCCGTTACAGATATTTGTATCGGTGCTGATACCAAGTATTTGGGAGAGTACTCATACTCGCCCAAATGCTCCGATACGTACCTCCGATACCGGAACTTCTGGCCAAAGGGAGATCTTCGTCTGACCGCAAATGCCAAAGGAGCATGGAGCCGGGTTTCTTTCCAATCAGGAAGCCGGGCGGTGGGTTATGACCCGCTTCCTTGATTGGCTAGGAAGCCTGCTTCACTTGTTGCTAGGCAGACTAGCTTACTAACCAATCAGGAAGGCGGGTGACACATCATGACCCGCCTTCCCGATTGGTCAGGAAGCCAGGCTGCCTTGGAACAAGTGAGGCCGGCTTCCTAGCTAATCAGGAAGCTGGGCGGCACGTCATGACTCGTGTCCCGGGTCCCTGATTGGTCAGGAAGCTACCCTACCTAGCAACAAGTTATGCCAGCTTCCTAGACAATCAGGAAGTCGGGAGGCGGGTCATGACGTGCCGCCCCAGCTGCCTTATTGGCTACGAAGCCGACTTCACCTGTTGCAAGGCAGCCTGGCTTCCTGACCAATCAGGAAGCCGGCCGGCACCTCATGACTCACCAACCGGCTTCCTGATTGATCAGGAAGCCAAGTAGCCTCGACATGTGAAGCCTGTGTTCTTTCGCTAGAACACTGGCTTCACAGGCAATCAGGAAGTCATGATCCGCCGCCTGACTTCCTGATAATCTGGACACATTTTACCGGTACTCCTGTATCGGCGAGTACCGAAAAAAAAGTATCGATCATCGCACTTGATACCGAAAAAACGGTATCTGTGCATCCCTAGTCTTAAACTATTAATAGCAGAACAAAAAAACTATAGAAAACACATTAAATAACGAGATGAACAAAAAAAAATCCGAGTATCTCCTCTCTCCAACTGTTCTTCTAAAAATGCCACAGATTGATTTAAATGTGTTTATTCTTCATTGAGCAAAATATTTAAACCCAGGGCACAGTCGCATCAGAATAAAGATGTGGTTAATTCTGTACTTCAAGACATCTGGAAATCTGGATTACTTTAACTTAAGAATTCCATTTATCTCATTCTATTGTATCAAATGCGTTCTAATAAAACATTTTCAGAGAAAAGCAACGAGTATACATTAGAACATTACTGTAAATTATGCACTTTGTGGATTAGAGAATAATATTGGCAATACACTGGCTCATCCACCATCTGCTAGACATGCACTGTAAAATGCTAACATTAATGCAATAAGACAACCATGGATTAACAAGATAATGATGGAAAAGCCATGGGCCTATTGCAATCAGACAATTACATACAATTTACTGTTCTAAATTAGAACATTTAAGATTTAAGAATAAGCTTGCAATAATGTACAGGCAATATAAACTGGATGCAACATAACTATCCAAGAAAATGTGAAAATGATTCCCATAGCCTTGTGATGATATCAAGGTAAAAAGAGCACTGGCAAACATCACCAACACATTTCATAATGATGTCTTCCCATCACAAGACTCTTTGTGCTGAGGAAGTAAAATGTATGCACAGCTAAACAAAACAAAAAAATATTTTTGAATAGAGTTATAGAGGATTAAAACCCCTATCAATTTTTTAGGCGCCAGTTGCACATCAACTGCACATCACACATGCTGCGGTTACCTGTGGATGACCGTACAGTGATACAGATACTGTAGATATACACATACACACTTTTTAAAACCTGTACACAAGCATGGAGGCTTCCATCATTGACCTCCACTTCTGTAAATACAAGTTTCCTGGGTGTCATTCTGGTCCAATTGTTTCAGTACTCCCTAAGTCACTGACTCCCCTCCCATACCCATCAGCCCCCCCTTTTTTCCCCTTACTGTTCTCACTGCTTTTCTCCTTCTTTCATCTTTAGCTTTCCTTACTTTTTCTCTTTCTTTCAATTCTAATTAACAAAAGCAAAATCACAAATGGCTTAACCCCTTCATGACTGAGCTTGTTTTTAGTTTCTGTACGTAAATGACTGAAGCACTTTTGACATTTTTGCTGTGCGATTCTTCCACGTCAGTAATATACTTTCTCACAAAGTTCACCCACACATATTATATATTGTTTTTAAGAGGACAGATAGGGCTATATATTTATAAACACATATGTGTACCTAGTGCCTCAAAAAAAAAGAGGAAAAAACTTAAAGAAAAAACACTTTTTCCCCAGTTTTGTAGTGTTTTTTTTTACAAAAACAGCACAGCTAAAAAAAATTCAATAAATATATTTATTTGTCCTTTATGTGGAAAAACCTCACATCCCTAGGATTTTAGAATGTTTTTTTGTACTTCTCAGCCTAAAACTAAAACCTAACATTTTCATTTTTTTTCTCTAAAAGCTAAAAGTGGTCACCTGGCATACAATGTCACTAAGTGTCACACTTAGTGACAGCGACATACGTTGAAGAACATCACTGTCATGAGGGGGTTAAAAAAAAAATCAACCCCCTTAGGGTGAAAAACAAATCTGCAGCTCAGCTGCAGATTTTCATTGTAAGGGGTTAATTTTTATATAAATGATAGTATAAAAATATATTTAAATATATCATTTTTATTTGTTACATTGTTTTTTTTTACACTTTTCACTATTTTTTTTTAAACATTTTTATTTTATTCATATCAAAGCAGTCATTGTTAATTAATCTCACTAATCCTGCTTGATAAATAAATTAATGAATTTTTGGTTATGATTAGGCTGCGTGAAACTCAAGAACAGCCAATAATAACCATAGTGATGATCGAAAGAAACAAAGCGCTAAAGGTAACTGTATGAGCAAAAAAATGAGCTATAAAATGTTTTTTTGTACTTCTCAGCCTAAAACTAAAACCTAACATTTTCATTTTTTTTCTCTAAAAGCTAAAAGTGGTCACCTGGCATACAATGTCACTAAGTGTCACACTTAGTGACAGCGACATACGTTGAAGAACATCACTGTCATGAGGGGGTTAAAAAAAAAATCAACCCCCTTAGGGTGAAAAACAAATCTGCAGCTCAGCTGCAGATTTTCATTGTAAGGGGTTAATTTTTATATAAATGATAGTATAAAAATATATTTAAATATATCATTTTTATTTGTTACATTGTTTTTTTTAATTTATTCACATATATTCACATTTATTCTTAATTTATTAATTTAATTTATTTAATTTATTACTAAATATCACTTCTCCAGAAGCGCAGATTTATTTGTTTACATTAATAACCATAGTGACACTGATCCTGCAGCATTTCAGGATCAGCTGTCACTAAAGGTTTTCTGATCGCTCCAACAACGATCAGAAAACTGCAACATTGTTTCAGGAATAGAAACATTATGTTTCTTTTGCTGAAAGTAAAAAATAAAAAAAAAGCCAGTATACATCGGGATTTCCCAATATATACAAGCTGTCAGAGTGACGGCAAGAGCTGCAAATGCGGCTCTGCTCTCACTGACAGACACCCGATTCCTGAAAGGGATAGGGTGTCTGTAAAAGGTTAACTCTTTCATTAATGGATGCCTTTATACTGAGGCATCCATTATTGAATGGTAACCGCCGATTCTCATCGGTTACCAGCATGGCAGAACAACAAATAACTGGTCATGTACAGTGTACGTGGCCAGTCATTTGGGCACTTTATGGCGGGACGTACAGGGTACGTCTCCCGTCACGAAGGGGTTAAAGCAGAAGTATTGCTTCACTTTGTAATCATATGATTAGCTTGGGCTTTAGAATCTGATAAATTGTTAATTAGTAGATCTAGATTTTAGCCCAATGCCTACATTTTATTTCTATTTACATACAATGTGGAAGGGTAAGAACCCCAGTCATTTTTTTTCCTTTCTTTTTTTGCTATATATCTGTTGAAGACATTTCCCCTGTGTGGTCTCCAATTGAGACAGAAATTAAATAACGGGACAGGGTTTTATAATTAGGTATAAACAATCATTAAAATCTCACAATCTAACATTTTATTGTATTTCATTTTTTTAATCCCTTTAAAATTGGCAGCTTTCTGCAGATACAGGGACGGGTCCTTTTTATAGGACATCAGGGATCTATTAGACGCCTAATGTCACTTAGGGACCACAAAGGAGCTGATGAAGGAGAGATTGTGCCTTACCAGCTTCTTCTTAGGCTACAGCAGCCAGAGAAATGACACACCGAAAGCAGAAGTTATGTAATACACATTGCTTTAAGTGGTCAGAAGGAAAATCAGCCTCTGGAACTGTGCCAATCTCCCTCTAATCAATGTAAACAGACCTGCACGGGGGACATCGGAGCCCGGGAAAGCCGGCAGCAGCAGTGAAGGGGGCGCACATTTCCCCAGCAACGTACAAGCGATCGGGCGGCTCTATAGCCACCTGAATGCTTGTACATACAGTCATCACCAGCTGTAAAAAATGTTTAAGGTTGCCCCCCTCATGTGCGCAAGCGTTGATCGGGAAAAGACGTTTAATAATGTCCACGCGCCCTCAGGTGTGAGCCATCCGGCCCTTTAATTACAATGGACTGACGTCAAGCAGTTCAAATAACTTCTGGTCATCCTACCATGAAGGTCTTTGTTCAGACATTGCTTGTTATGGGGTTACAATTGTCCCCCAGCCACATATAACCCCGATGGAGGCTACAACCTGTTGTGCTGACACAGAATGCACAGGCATGGTTCACCGTCGTCGTTATTGGTACACCAGTCCTGAGAAATTATGCTGAAGCAAGTTAACATAGATTGGACGGGGCTGGAGGAGATCAGCAACACTGAGATGTAAAAGAAGAATGAAAAAAGGTGAAAATATTTTATTGGAAAAAAAAAATTAGCTGTTTGGTACTGATACTTTTTGCTTCTCTTTATAATTCAATATATTAAATAAATGGATTAAAGTGCAACGGAAACCAAAACCTTTTTTTTAGTTTTGGATAGAGTGGAGAAAGATTAGAACACCTGTCACGTTTTTATTGCTGTCTGCATCCCCGTTAGGGAGATTCTTCCTCTGCATTTGTCCTGGTGACCGTTATCACTGAAAGTGAAAGAAAATTTCAAATTTTGGGTTGTCATCAGGACAGGAATAAATGGGAAATCTTCCAATGTTGTGTATCACTCAGCTGTAAATCCTCAAATCATCTCCGAATTTGTGCCGACGCTGTCCTTCCTTCAGGAGGGTGGCTACTTTTGTTCCCCATGGTCCCTGTGTGTGTTGTAATGTAGTCACCGCTCCAAGCTCACTCCCGTGATGGACTCTAACTTCAGTACAAATTAGTAAACTAAACATGAGATTGTAGTCCATCACTGGAGTGAGTTTGGAGCGGTGGCTACTTTACAACACACACAAGGACCATGGGGAACAAAAGTAGCCACCCTCCTGAAGGAAGGACAGCGTCGGCACAAATTCGGAGATGATTTGAGGATTTACAGCCAAGTGATACACAAATAAGATACAGGTTTGTGAATAGTTAGTGAACTTGAATGCATTTTTAAGATTTAACTTCTGAGTTTAGTGTCACTTTACAATCAAGCTCTTCCTCTATGGTAGACATTTAGAATAAGCCTCATACCTTCTACCATCACCAACATGGTTAATTAAATAATGAATTACAGCCCCAAAAATTCTATGAGGGTTAACGGTCTATCTGATCTGATCACATCGGAAAGAAAACATGTACAGCCCACATGGATAGTTGTAGAATAACATGTTTTACATATTTTGTGGGTGATACGTTTTATGGAGCCTTAAAGGCAGTCTTTTTAATAAATAGGATATGTATTTTTTGCCTCACAATTTTCCTATAAAAATAATGTAGGCTTCAGGGAAAACAAACGAGGAATGCTGACTCAGTGGATCATATCACAAAACAGGTTTCTTTTACATTCTGGTCATGGAAACTAGCAGAAATGTTGGCTCTAACTAAAGTACCAGTTCCAATTATAGAAAACTACTGACCAAAGTTATTTTAATGGGTATATTCAAATGTGAATAAAAGCATTTCCAAACAAGCGTTGCATTTAGTGTGTGAAGGAATGAAAACAAATCACTTACAAATAGGCTGGGTTTGTATTAGACAAGTGGAGCACCTGAGAGGCAACAGGTTGAACAGCTGTTAAAATATCTTGTTCAATAGCCATCGGAAGAACTGCGTAGCCACAGTAGTCGATATGTTCCCCTGCATCAAACAAATAAAGGGATATACTGTATGTAAGTAAACATAGCAAGAATACCAATTCCACATACCAATCGATTAAACAGAAATGCCCATTTATGTCTTCTGTAAAATTCTCACTTTTTAGGCCAAATTTAATCAGTGGGACTCCTTTCTGGAACTGTCTGTTCTATTTACTATCTGTTCTACTGCTGACAAGGTCTGGGGATTGGTTTCTCTCCTACAAACATCTCATAACATGAATGGTGGAAGTGGCAGTGTCAGCAAATGTATAACAAGGGAAGACCACTAAACTTTGTTAATAGTATGTCTGTAAAGGTTCTCATTCATCCAGGTCATGGTATATCTGTAAAAAATAAATCAAGGCAACTGGACTTGCTGTACTTTGCTAATAGTGAATATCTTTAATTGAAGAGCCACAGACATTAAAATAAAAAAAATGACCATCAGTAATGCTGATCATATACCAGAAGACACAATAACTGTTAGATCAAAAAGTCCAAGTATCCCATCGCACTCCTGACCGGAAAATGCCCATGCAGCAGGACGGGTGCAGCAGCAACAATGGATGCCTCCGTCCAAAACGTACAAAGTAATAAAGTCACTGGCACTCCAGGTATTCAAGTCAATAAGTTGATTGACCCAAGTGAAAACACCTCTAGCAACGTTTCGAGACCATGTGGCCCCTTCCTCAGGCAAACAGAGGAAGGGGCCACATGGTCTCGAAACATTGCTAGAGGTCTCGAAACATTGTACAATAACTGTTAGGGTGCCCATGCACTGTGTGAATTTAGGCCTGCTCTTGAGGAACTGGCCAAAATTCGCACAGTGTGTGCCACTGTCTGCACCCTTTCGGCCAGCATCCCTCAATCAGCTAACCGAAGGAACCGGCTGGAAAATCTTTGTACGACCAGAGCCGGCAGCCAATGAGCTGCCAGCTCTGGTTGGGTATTATGACAGTGGCCACCAATGCAGGCTTTGGGATTCCTTGATCAACACCTTCACAGTGTAGATAGAGGAATCTGCTCTATTTTTTTATGTTCAGCCCACGGGTTGAATTAAAAAAATAGAGCAGTGTATGGCCAGCCTTAGCAAATAAATACTTGACATTATTGGTCATTTAGACAAATCTTCTGTAGTAACCCCGGTCCATTCACTAATCCCTTACACACTGGATGAGGACTGTGGTTTCTTAGCCACAATGGATTAATTAAATCTGGTCTGTTTCAGTAATAGTTTATAGTCTAGGGAATTAGTGAAATCACTTCATGGTGGCAGTCCCTATAGGAGCTCCCTTACTCTAGTCCAAGTATTTGGTAACCATTAGGTTAAGTTGTTTCCACCACAAGCAAGAATCACTTTTGGGCCAAATTATTATTTTTATTATATCTGATCTTTAAAATAAGCCCAATGAACATATAGAAATACATAATTCCGAGTACAAAAAACATGAATCATACGATACAGAATAAAACACAATCTGTCAAGAAACTGTCACGAATAGTATTCTATTATATTAAAGATCAGTTTTACCTATCAGGTTTACCCGTCCTGGTGCACGTGCGTAGAAGGATGGTTCACTGCCATACTTGGAGATGAACAATTCTTTCAGTCGAAACAACCTGCAAAATGTAAAGAAATAAACTTAAGGATATAAAATATTTTCTTTGCATTCCTTATTGGGAACAGATTAAAAAAAAATTAAGAATATTGTTCTATACTGTTTTACATACAGTATATACACTCCAAATTCATACCAAGAGTTTTTCCACATTTTAAGAGATCCTGACCCCATACTATTAACATCAACATCAAGCTTCCCATAAAACTACATGTCAAACTACCTTGTTCCATGCCTTTATTATTATAATAAACAGAGGCTGCTGCTGGGTGCTACCATCTTGTCGTGGCAGCCCCAGGCAAACTCAGAGCTCTCACTCAAATGATATTCTGCAGTATTCCACTGCTGTAGTTTAGTTTTGAGGCTCACTGAACTGTTTCTGATTTATCCAATGAGAAGGAAGAGAGGCTAATAGCAGGAGCTTGCAGAAAGCAAAGCAGGGAATACTGCAAGCAAATACACTTCCTGCACCGTCCATAGATTACAATCAGCTAAATCTTGATGCAAAACTAATTCAAACTGCTGGATTTTTTCCCCCTGCTTGTACCTCTTGTATATACCCCATGTACTTACCACATTGCTACACAACTGCATTAAAGATAGAAAGCTAACTTTCTAACATGAGATAGAGACACCTTCCAGCACAACGTATTTAGGCAATGAACACACCCCTTGTCATATACTCAATTAGCTTCTATAGAAACTATTTCTTTTACAAACAAATTTCACTTCTTTTAACTCTCTTAGTGGTTCCCTGTAGTAAGGCAATATGCCCCAATCACAGGTTGCCACAATAACAAATGGCTGTATCCTATAAACCTCAACCTAAGAAGGTAACCATTCATAAAAACTCAAACTGTAAACTATTGTTAATTAAACAAATAATGGGAAAAGGGAAGGAGGAGAAAGGGGAAAGAAGGTCCAGGCTTTCACCAATGATGGGGAAGAGGTGGAAACTAAGAAGAAAAGAAAGGAATAAGTCCAGAAAAGTATAACGATGCAGTCAGGTCTAGTCATCAGAGAAGTTCAATTTGTGCATGGTATTTTTGTACTCTTTAGAAAATGTGTATGCGTGCTAATAGAACCAGGTTAAATTGAACTCCTCTTCCTGATGGTTCACGGAAGTAGTGAGATTTTCCATACGCTCTATCTTCCTGGCATTATACCACATAGCCAGCTCTTAATTAAACACAATCTGACCAGTAATAGAACTGAAATAAACCTTCAAGTCATTCCCTTTATTGACAAACGAAATCAGAAATTTTACATCTACATTAAGGCCTCATTCACACACAACGCAAGCAAAATTGTATATTGCGTAAATATGAGCGTCTATGCGCGTATAGACGAGCGTCTATGCGCGTATAGACGAGCGTCTATGCGCGTATAGACGAGCGTCTATGCGCGTATAGACGAGCGTCTATGCGCGTATAGACGAGCGTCTATGCGCGTATAGACGAGCGTCTATGCAATCCCAGAATGCATCACTCGTAATGAAATTTTAATGTGCTGTACGCATGTACTCACGTATACGCGCGTACAGCACATTAAAATTCCATTACGAGTGATGCATTCTGGGATTGCACATAGTGCACGCATATACGCGCATAGACGCTCGTCTATGCGCGTAAACACGCGTGTGTGCGCGTAAATACGCAGAGATACGCTACCTGGACGCATCTATGTTCCATTCTGTTTTTGCGCATATATACACTGCGCAAATATACGGCTCCATATGCGGCTGTGTGTATGGAGCCATTTATTTGCATATGTTGCATATGGTACAATACGTACGTACGCACGTATATGCGCGGCAGTGTGAATGAGGCCTACAGATTAACAGATTCCAAAGTCCAGATAGCATTGTGTAGAGTTGAGTCATATCTGGTTTAAATGAGGTATATTTTTATCTCAAAACAAATCAATGTCTAATGAGTGCCATATACTCATATTTCCTTTTAGTGCATCTTACAAGGCCCGGTCTGTCTGGCAAATACATACTTTTGAGTTACTAGGAATAGCGTCCAGGGAATTGCAGCAAATCTGAAATATCAGTTTCCTTTATTTAACTGCTGCATCAGACTGCCAACTGCTGTGGGCAAACTGCAAAACAGTAATTAAAATGCTGTGGTTGGGTACAAAAGATATCATTATATTGTTATTGAGCAGAATGTTCTCCTGGAACGATTTTAGAAGCATCAACCATTTACGTCATTCAACAGGGCTGTGTAGTTTATGTGCCAGAGGAGATTTACCAGTTCTCGTGTTATGGAAATCAAATTACGACAGAGTAGGGGAAAAAAAAGGACAGACCAAACCTAAGATAAAATGTAAAGAACAGAAAACATGGACTATTAATGTGCAATCTGTTACATTAGTAAACATATTGTGAGTCATACTATGCTCAAGGCATAGATTTGCATGCTTTTGATAGTGGGGGCTCCTTTCTGAAAGCATTAAAATGAAGGTAAATAGCATGCATAGTGCATTTTACATACTGTAGCATTCATTCTCATGGGAGATACTCTTTAAGGAAACTGCATTTAACTTTAGGAAGCAGAAAAACAATTTAACATGAAAATTGTTAGAATACACAGTATTGTATTTATATCAATAACTCCTGCAGTATACAATTTCGGTCACTAGATGGCAGTGTTTATAAGTTCTGTTATATATCTATGGTAGATGTACTCTGTTGTATAGAATAATAAAGGTAGAGAATAAAGCTGTGGCTTCCTTTCTGTTTTCAAGCCATATGCAGCATGCATATCAGACTGTGTGCTTGTGTTTCCCTGTGAGGCTGTGCAAGAAGTTCCAACAAAAATGAACTGGTGAAAACTGTACCTATAAAAACAACACTGCAGAACCCTCCATGTACATTGGGTGCAGTGATAGGCAGCTAAGCATACCTCCCAAGTTTCTGAGATAAAAAAAGAGGGACACCTTTCAGCACAATGGGGGGGGGGGGGGGGGGGCACTGCTGGATACACCCCTGCCAGACCCCCACTTGTGAGCCCCGTATGTAATAGCAAAAAAAACTAAAGTTTAAAAAAAAAAAGTGAAATAAAATAAATGTAAAAACAGCAAAACATTGGATGCATCTACGTACGAAAGCGACGATTGCACCACACATGTTTAGTGTGCATGGCAATATTTGAATGTGAGAAATAATTCTCGGGCCATTATTCATGGTTATCTTTTTAACCTATGACATGTACAGGCTTTTAAAGCATTACCTATGTACAATTTTGGATACCGTAGTTTTCTGCCTTTTCGGGGCGCACTCATTTCTAAAGCCTGACATATTGGTATTTATTTATTTACTTGGCACAACCTCATCTTTTATACTGTAAATACCAAAAAATGGTTAATATATCGTGTTTCTGTGCACTAAAATAACTTTAGTGTACTTTTTACTGAGAATTTGGGTTTGAGAAACAGTTGCGCTAATATGTTGCAACTGCTACCATTTTATTCTAGATGGTCTCTACTTTCAGGAAATATAGAATTCTGAGGGGCCATTCTGCTGGCGCATTATTCCAGGAGGATGTGCCTGTACGTCCTACCGTGAATGCACGTGCGCGCGTGGCTGCTGCTACTCCCTCATTAGACAGCAGAGAGCCACAGCTTTACACAGAGAGCTGATCGCACTGGCTCTGTGTCCTGTGATCACTGTCACTGGTTATCACATGCCAATATTTATATTGCCAAACCATCCCCTTCCTCTGACATCAGAGACAGAGGAGAGTAAAATGCATTATGAATGGATGAGTTAGCCATTCATTACTTACTAGTGGAAACAAGCTGCAGCAAAAAAAAAAAAAAAAAAAGTTTCAACTCTTTCTAAATACCACTAAAATAAAGCTCTATTTGTCCCCCCAAAAAAGATACAACACTGGAACAAAATAAATGTTATAACGGAGGGTTTCTCAGCCAAACTTGCACAGTGCTGAAAACTGAAGCATGGCCTGGTAATGAAGGGGATGTCTAATGTCTTAGTGTGATTGAGCCCAAAAAGTTTAAAGTGGCAGAGGTTCGGGTGAGTATAACTTTTAATTTTAGCACCCAGATGAAATCGAGCAGTTAATCCTTGTAGTGCGGAGGTAGACCCATTGTATTGGTCAAGAAAAGCTTTTTCCCAGAGTTCTTCTGGAACTGGTTGGTATAGTTGTCCATGCTTAGCTCCCTAGTAGGACATTGGAAAAGGAAAATAAAATAGAGAGAGACAGAATAAATTAAAAACAAATGAGATTACAAAGGAAAAAAAAATCTTTGGTCCACTAAAGGAACACAAAAGTCAATTAAATGCTTTGTTTTTTTGCTTGTTATTTTCTAATGTCCATGATAATATAACTGCAAACATTTTCAGTCACCAGGAAGCACAGGATTCATAGCATGCCCTGTCCTTCTCCCACTGCTGCCGCTTCCTCTGCCTCTCTTACCTGATTCCTGGAGTCAAAATGACAGCTGGGACTTGCTGAGTACTACAGCAGTAGCTATGGTCAAAAATTGTATTTGCTGTTACATTCACATAAACAGCAAACGGGTGACCTTTGATATGATGTCAGTTAGAGCAACATTGCAAGTAAAAAAAATAAATTACAAAAATGACTAATTTGTGTTGATGTAACACCTTATTAACCCTTAACCCTAATTAGGCATAAATAAAAATAACTCCTTCCCCTTCACTATTTTTTTCTGCTATTTTTTTTTTATGAAAGATTATGAAAAGAAAGCATCTTAAGTAATGACAAAGTTAACACCAAATAATTAGGCCCAGATAAGAAATGTGAAAATTGCTCTGATACCGGTATGAGAGCTGACGTGGTTAACTCCACTTCATATTTGATACGCTTTGCTTTTCTTTTTAAATCAATATATTAAATTTGCGGCTTACAGTGCAACTGAAGCCAAAACTTTTTTTTAGATTTGATAGAGTGGAGAGGGAATAAAACCCCTGTCCGGTTTTTATTGCTCTCTGTGTCCTCCATTAGGGCGATT